CATTTTTAATATTTTTGAATCTAAAAGAAATATTTTTTTTTTTTAAATTTAAAAGCATTGTCAGAACACTAATTTAGTAATGTTACTCTTCAAGAATTTGCTTAATGTGGCAACTATGCACTGTACATCTCATGTTGCTAAAAGATCTATAAAAATAAAGTCTTATAAAAATAAAAATATTTGGAAATTTTCAAATTCGAATTCCTTCGAGAAATCGATGTAAAATCTGAAACTTCAAGAAATAGCACTCTACAATATTTTCTACTTTTTAAAATTTATTTTTTCCAAAAAGTTTCTTCAGATATTTTCCTGAAGTACTCTTCAAAAACAATTGTAGTAATATTTAGTACCTTAATTTAATAAATATCCTGAATTATACTACAGTTTGTTCAAAATACTTCACGAGAAAATTTTAAATTACATACATATACATGCATATACTTTATTGAAATATGAGATTTATGAAATTTTTTTAAGTACTCGTACCTTCAATGATTATATTTATTGCATCATTAAAATGCAATAAGTATAATGATTGCAGCACATATAATGCTTGTTTATATTAACTATTATTTTTGAAACTTTATTACTTTTATTGTACCTATATACTTAAATTTTATATAACATTGCATAAGGATCGTAGTATTCTTTCGTATATATGAACTTATTATAGAATAATTTTCAACATCTACTCAAATGCAATTTCTTACTAATGGAAATTCTGTTGTTTCATAAAATTTTCATATCAATTTTGATACCAGTTCTTATAATGTAAAAAGAAAATGTTTGCCTAAAAAAAATTCTTATTAGGGTTCACTCTATCCGTTCGGTCGTTCGTATGCTCGTCCATGTGACTATTTACAAAATCTTCACAACTTTTAAGAAACAATATTGAAATTTTGTTCACAAGTAAATGTTTACTAGAAACTTATTTTCATAGAAGAAATGTTTTACTTATATTTCTTCGGAAGAATATAAATTGTAAAAGTCTTAAATTTTAACAGTTTCTAAGTACTAACAAATAGTTAATTTAGTTGGAAGAATGCTATCATCTGCAAGAATTTATAAAATTTGATTTTTCCCTCGAAGTGCAAGTTTTTTCAAATTTTGTTTAAAAACAAAAGTTAATATTAAATACCGTTCCATAAAAAAAATTCTGATGTGATCAGCACATAACCGACCACAATGTGTATTGTCTAGTTAAGTGAAAGTGTTACAGAATACTATAGAAAGGTCTGTTAAATTTCTTTCCAATTTTTAGTACACTAGTAAGCTTATAGTTAATGTACCTAGAAAAATATAAATTTGACTCTTAGTAGAGTTTCACTTTGTGCTACCCGAATTCCCTGAAATGCTCGCCAGTTAGTTTCGGTAACAACCAGAACTCAAATATCAAATTTCAAGAAATTCCACCTATTCGTTCCGTATGGATCGATATGGTAAAAAATGTAAAATCGGCCCTCAGATCAGTTTCCGAGTCCTGACCTTTCCAAAAAATTTATATGTTCTTTATTTTAGTATGAAGAATCTTATATATTAAATTTCAATTAAATCGGTTGATTATTTCTCTTTATAAACACAAAAATGTATATTTAGCCCGTAGTAAACGCCAATTTTCTGACGCCTGATTTCTTATATATGAAATTTCAAGTAAATCTGTTGAATATTTCCTTTATAATGATCAAAATAATAAAAAAGGCCCGTTAAAAAGTGCCGTTCCCGAAGCCTGACATATCCCAAAAGTTGATCAATCCGTTCCATAGTCGAAATAAACTTACATATAAAATTTCATCAAAATCAGTTCAGCTAAACTTGAGATACACGCGTGCACACAGAGACCGAGAGACCGACAGGTTGCTAAAAATAGTTTACTTACACTTCCCTATCATAAAGAAGTGCGTTCCCACCGAAAACTCGATATGCAAAATTTGTTGCCATCACATAACCTACCTATTGTATACACAATGCGTTCGGTAATTATTTATTTCAACTCAATTATTTAATTGCCAAATTTAAGCAATGTTAATACTTATTTAACTTCTTTTTATCATCCTAAAGGTGTGCAAAAATTATTATATTGTAGCATTTAAATTTGATAACAATCTATATACTAAATTTTTTCACTTGTTTAAGCGGAAAGTGCTTCTTTACAAACCACTGTTTTGATCGAACTTTAGTTTTTATTTACTTTTGTTTTACCAACTATAAATTTTATCAAATTGTTACTTTATTTTTAATTAATTGTTATTTTTATTAAATTCTAAACCACATCAACTCTATTTCTATTGAAATATCAACTATACTCTGAAACTGAAAATCACTTAACAATCATTTCAACTTCATTTATATGCTCCCAAATATCTTAATATTCAATTTATATACCCAACCATTCGTTTGATAACTTTCAACCTAATCATTCGTTTGAAAATCTAGATAAGCTCTTGATAAAAAAAATCCTTATTTTATTATTGAATACAGAGACTTCAGTTATATAATATTAGTAAAACACGCACTCAATTTTGACAAATGCACACAATCTTGTTAACACTTACAATATAAATTTAAATTAATAAAACATTTACCTTAAGCAATTTAAAAAGAATTAAATTTCTTATTTTTTCCTTATTTCTTTTATAAAGATGTCATTTTTATTTTCATTGGGTGTTCACCTTTTATTGGGCTATATGGACTATTACCACAAATGTCATCGCAAATTTATGAATTGAAAAATGATATTGAAGGACTTTTTAAAATTAATTCTTGGGCATTTTTCTTTTTTTTTCCTCGTTTTCTATAGATTAAATGATAGAGTCATTGTTTTTCTTTAGGTATAATACCCTCTTCGAACCGAGATAAAATATACATGCACATATATTTCAATATAGATTTTAAAAGTTTATCAAAAATTGTTTGCCTATCAAAATGGCATAGATATACGCAGGTGAACCAAAAACATTATGACAAAAAAGAGAACACTAGAAAACATGACAAAGAAAATTGAAAAAAAAAAAAAATATTATTTTTGATTATATTTTCAAGAATTTTCTTACACCATTTTCGCCAGATTTTCTCAAGGATCATTGATATTACAAAATTATTGAGTTGTCTTTTTATAAAAAATCAAATGAAAAAGAGCAAAAAGTGAAAAGAATATACCATTATACTTTTACATTTAACATTAAAATAACAATTTGTGGTGATGAAAATGACACAAACAACCATTTGTGGTGATGAAAATTTAATTTTCAAAAAGAGCTACAAGGCAGAACCATTTTATTTTATGATAACAATATATCCCAACTTCCCAAAATTTTTTTATTTATGGAACAATAAAAAAAGAAAAAATCAAAATTATTTTGGTTTGATGTTCAATTAAAGAGGATTTAGAATTTCAAGGTTATTTACATATTTTAATTGTTATAGTCAAAAATGTCATCGTAAGATTATAAAAAAAGGAAAGTATGTTTAAACACTATTGTGTTCTATACAGGTTTTTATTTTGTTTCGGTTTTCCATTGGAATTTCCGTTGATTGATTTAAAAAAAAAATACAAATTTGAATTTGAATTTCTTAAAATATTTCGCCATGTAAAATAATTCTATTATTAAATGACAAGGGTCAGGCCAAATTAAAATATTGGTTTTTCATTTGCAAAGATGTAAAAAGGCAAATATTAAAACTCAAATAATAAAAATAAGCCAGAATAAAAATTAAATTTACAAGTGTATGTAGGAATTAAATTTGAATACTTATTTCAATATTATTACTAAAAATTACTAAAACTTTTCAAACGGAAATTCATAAATTTTTTTACAAATATTTTCTCCAGTTAGTGAGCATTTTTAATCGGAATAAATACGTTTCCTTGTATTTTTCCAGAAAATCATATATTTTTTATTAATTCAAGGTGATTGAGAAAGATGCGCAACAACATATACCATTGGTTAGAAGGTCAAAAATAGATTAAACTTTTGCTTTAGTGTAAGTGCCAAATCTTAAAGGTTTCCAAGTTACAGGAATTTAAATAAAATTTCGACGAAATTTCTACTTTTTCAAGTTTTTTCGCTTATAACTTCTGTTCCGCAAAAAATAGCGGCTTCAAACAAGCAGTGTTCGCAAGGCATAGTAAAGAACTTGAAATCAACATGTTACATGATTTTGTTTTTTCTGTACTTTCGGAAAACCAAGTATTTGATCTTAAAAAAACTCAAATTTTCTGCTTTTTTATTTTTTTTAGTTTCCTATGACCCGATAATCTCGTACGAAATTATTTGAAATTACAAAAATTTTTTTTACAGAATAATGTATTACAATTATTAATGAAACAACTAACTCGCGTTTTAAAATAAAATTAAATTAAAAAAAATTTAAAAAAAAAATTTGACTAAGAAGAGAAAAAGATTTACAGCCTTAGAGCCAAGCAGAGAAGAGTATCGTAGCAATGTACATGAAATACGAGGAAACTTAGAACTTAAAACCTCTCATATTATCAGCAAGATACTGAACAAAGTGCGAATTTATAGTCTCGTCATTATTGAATTTTTACCATCCAAACAGTACTGCACGCATCGAAATAATTGGAAATCTGATGTAGTTCTATATCAACTTTTTCTTTTACATTTTATTCGAATATTAAATTCAAGTGTTTCTAGTAAAAAATTTAATTATGTAAATTATGTATGATACTTAAATACATTGTACTTATTTTTAATTAAAAAATTTAAAATAATTATTAACTCCAGTTTTAATTACAAAGGGTTTTTCCAGCAAATAACGTATGCATATTTAATTAAACTTTTCAATAAAATTAAATAATTCTCCAAAATTATTTTTAAAAATTCTTTCAACAAAAACTCGTACGAACTTAAAAGTTACTCAATATATAGGTAATTAAAATTTTGAAAAGTTTTAATAATTTTTAATGAAAATTTTGTAAAAGCCGTAAAGTGGAATTAACAAAAACTGATGCTGATGTTACAACCTTGTGCTATAAATCAAACATGCCAAAATCTATGTAAGTAGGTCTCAATTTACTTTTATATTAGTTATGTTCAATTGGTCACGATATAAATTACATAATATATTCTTGTTCAAAATCAAATTTTAAGTTGATCATGCTGTATTCTTCTATCCGTTTGCACGTTTGTTGCCGAAACCCTTATTTGAGAAAGCAATGAGAGTTTTAAACAATATTAACTTTAGTATTTTTAAATTTTAGTCTTAATTAACTTAGATAGTCTCGTCCTATTGCCATAAAACTTTTTACAATTTTTTCAACAAATTCGAAAAAAAGTACTTATTTGCTTCGCCATTTCCGTTTGTATATTTCTTTTGGAAAACTTCTACAACATTCAAAATAGAAACCTAAAATGTTATATACAAATAGGCTTTACAAAAAAAATATTTCCCTAGGAGTAAATTTTTGCCTAATTTTTCCCACTAATTTTTTGTAAGTTATGGTTCCTTCATGTTAAAAAATTGTCATTCGTTGGCAATTAATATGTCGAAAGCACAAACCATTTTTTGTAACTTTTCAAACGCAGAAAAATTATTTTTTAAAATGTTTGGCGTCGTTTGTAAGATAACTGTTTATAGAAAATGGTTTATATTGCTAACAAAAATTCGAACCCGAACACTATACTAACGCTTCTCTTTAATATTTGTAGCTTCTCCGAAAAGTATGCAATATTTTTGTGTAAAAAAGTATATTTTAACTAGATGACCAGTAATACGTTATTTGTCTTCAGTTTCTTTCCTAATAACATTCGATTCTATTACACTTAAATGTATTTTCTATAACATTTTAAAATAGTCATTCTAATCTAAAACAATATATGCGCGTATATTAAATATTTATTAATAAAACAAATATTCTGACAAAAAAACAACTGATTTATATAGTTTAACAAGTATATCTAAATTTATTCCTCGCAATCTCATCTTGGTTAGACTCTATTCCAGACACACACATACACTAAAGCCTCGTAAGCCTTTTCAAAATAATAAGTACGTGACAGGAACTACAAATTACAAATTTAACTATAAACCTTAGATATTCCAAAATAGTTATGTTTTCTGTAATTTTTGTTCAAGCTCTTTCAATTTTCAGAATTTTTTCATATAATTTAGAATAAATTAATTAATTACACACATATAAAATTAATGAAAAGACATTGATAAAAATATTTTAATTTGAAAAAATTTTTATCGAAGACATCAACAAATATTTTTAAATAAAGTTCATTTAACCCGGTGGAGAAGAAAAAAATCAAAATCTCATAAAACTACAAAATAATACAAAAAAAAGGAAAATTAAATCAAGACGCGTTTTTTTATTTGACGCTATTCAGTAAGAGTAGCCGTGACTGGAAATTTTTATTATTTTAAATTGAAAGAAATTAAGTATAAAAATAGTTTTTTTTATAAACATTTAACAACAATTGATGGAACTAAAATAAAATTAAAGGTTTTCATTAAACATTTTTTTTTATTAAAAAAAAAAATTCAATCGGAAGTAAAATGGTTAATTTTTATTATAATCTACCAACATATTAGATTATAATCATATACACATTTTCCATATAACACTTATACCTAATTATAAATATCTAAAATTATAATAATATTTATCTGTTATATATAGTGATGAAAAAATGACCGTCAAATACGTGTGTATGGGCAGTAGTATGATATACAATTATACGCCAAGTTAATACCATCATCATTATGCATTAAAAAATATTTTCATGGGCAAGAGTAAGTTTTTTTTAAGTAATTTGTAAAACCATATAGAAAATTTCGCTCAAAATTTTAATATGCAAAACTGGAATTCTTTCAGTATAAAAATAAAATCGCGCACGTTTTAAATCATTTTCATTTTCTTTGACAATTATACTCGTATATGTTTACAAACATTATAATAATATTATAATAAACATACATACAAGATTAACAATAAACAATACAACATTAACAATATTTATATTTATAACAATGAGAATGACAACAAAATAATAGCGATAATCATAACAAAAAATTATACACGAATAAATTTTAATCACATACACGACGCACTTTTTTTATTTTTTGATATACTTACGTACTTATCATACTATTTACTTAATATATTTTAATGAAAAAGGCTTTACAATTAAACAATAGCCCGTTCATGTACTCATATGGATATATACGAGAGTATATATAGAAAATATCAAAAATATTTTGAAGAAGTCTTCATATACGTTCATTCAGTTCTTTGGTCATTTCACTATAGTTGAAGGTATACAGACATATGTAGAAGTATTTCCAGGTTTTAAAACTTATACAATATTTAAAATATTTTACTTTTACTTTTATTTTTTTTTTAAATTTCTTCTGTAAATTCATGTTCGTATTCAAGTAGCTGCCAAACTAAAAATAGTCTGAGTATAAAAATCAATGACAATATAAAATCTATTATCAATTATAAAAGTTAACTGGTCAAGTGAATAAGAGAGAAAAAAAATAATATTAGTTAAAATTTAATTAAAACAAAAAAAAAAGCAAAATATATTCCAAGGATACCAAAAATCCAAACGAAAAAGGATAATACAAATAAAAAAAAAAACAAAAAATCGAAAAAATGATTTTCAATAAATATTTATGTGCATTAATAATTTCTTTAATTAGTTTAACAAATGGTAATCCAGCATTCTGGAAAAATACACCATTAGATCCAATGATTGAAGAGATGAGATCAGATTGTGTTAATGGTATTGATTCAATGGCATGTTTTAAAGTTAAAATAATGAAATTTATTGATACAATATTTAAAAAAGATAATTTTAAGGTTGGTAATTAATTTTCAATTATTTATCAAAAAAAAATAAATAAATAATACCAATATATTTACAGTTAGGTGAAGATGTTGAAGTTAGATCAAATGATTTAATAAATGAACAATATCAAGGACGTGGACAAAAATCATTTTTAGATCGTATCGAACAATATATTAGAAGTCATGATTATACATTCAAATTACCAGTTGGTGATGTTACAATTTCACCAAGAAATTTAGATGATAATGAAATGAATGTTAATTTAAAATTTGGAAATGAGATTAGTGAAGGTAAATATTAAAATTTAAGTAATATTAAATTTATATATTAAATCTATTTATTAAAAACTTGCAATTAGGGATGAACTAACTGTTGATAAAAAGAGTTCAGACAATTGAATTGTTAATATAAAAGAAAGAGATATCAAATAGACTAAAAAATACCTTAAATATTAATCTGATTAAATTTCAAGTAATATTACTGTCGAAAGCACATAATTGTTTTCACATAAATGAGCATGAGTTCACTTAACAGAGTAAAGTTCGCACAATTAATCGTTCATATTTGCGCGAGTTTATAAAATTGCGATTCTACTATACTTCAAAATTATTTATAGGAAAAACTTAATAAACAATTTTTAGAAATTTTGAGATTGAAGTAATATTTGCGATATTAAAAGTATAAAATCATTTTTAAGCAAAACAAAGAATTCAATATATGAAAACCTTTTCAGGAACAGTTCATTCGAATCTTTTATCTTTTTCGGAAGCTATAAGCAAAAAATGGGCTAATTGAATTACGGAAAATAAGCTTCCGAATCAACAGATCCTTATTTTCATTAAATTTTTTCCATTGCCATCAAATATTATTCGATTCAATTAAAGTTCAAATTATTATAATTAAAATAAATCAAAATTGACAGCCTTGAATAACCTGTACTGAAACATTAAATCCTTGCAATAACATTTGATGACCATAATTTAAAAAAAAATTAAGTAAAATTGATATTTTTTAATTAAAAATAAAATTGTTCTTGCAATAGCACAAAATTAATATTTATAAATAAAAATTTTCGTAAGAATTAATAAAAAATATTTTTTTTTTAATATAAATTTGTAAAATAGCTATGCCCTAGTAATAACTTGAATAATATCATACCATATTGGGACACCATACTACTATTTACACAATATTCTCATTCTCATTCGAATAATAATTTTCCAATTAAATATTTAATAAAAACCTTGAACAAAAAGAAATATTTCAATTTTTTAATCCTCCATAACATTACGTTTGATGCTTTAATTCTTATTAGACAAATTTATTACGTACATATTATATAAGTACATTATTAATATTTAATACTTTTTTAATATTTTTTTTTATAGAGCGTGGCAAAAAATCAAAATTAAGAAAAATCGCTATACCAATAATGGTATTCGTTTTATTAAAAGCAATGACATTAATACCATTAGCTCTTGGTATCCTTGGACTTAAAGCATGGAATTCACTTCAACTTGGTTTCTTATCATTTATTGTTTCGGTTGGATTAGCAATTTTTGAATTATGTAAAAAGGTAAGAATTCATTTCCTTTATGAAAAAATCAATATGAAAAATGTAATACAAAAATACACATAGACAAAATTAAGTTTTAATCTTTCAAAGAATATTCAAAGAATTAAAATTTCATTCACTTACATAAAAGAAAATAGAATTTCTAGTACAATTTTTAATTTTTTTAATTTAATAATGCTCAATTTTTTCAATTTTCAAATTTACAATTTAAAGACTTATAGAATCGTTTCAATAAATTTCAAATAAATATTTCTTAAAAATTTAATTTTTTTTAATAACCACAAAAATACTTAATTTTTATTTAAAATTGAATGATAAAAATCAATACAAAATCAAGTCAAAAGCAAATAAATTTCAAAATACATAAATATTTCTTATATATTTTACTTGTATTATGTATAACACAAGTTAGGTTATGTAAATTTTAATGTGTGTATGTTTATATTATTCAGGATAACTGATTTAAAAATGAAAATAAAAACTCATTATTAAAATCAAAAATCAATGTAAATAAAGATAAATTAAGATAAAAATACGTAATTAAGAAAATAGTCAAAAGAATTTATTCATACATCCTCAGAACAAATGGATGACGTACACAAAGAAACGAGTTAAGGTCTAGAAAAAATTTAATTAAAAATATTTTCTCTACAAACTGGGCTGGATCCAGTTGGTTATCGTTTTCTCGATAATCGGCTAACACTTATGAAAAAATCAAAAAAAATTCTATATAACATGTATAACCATAACTCTCTTAACTATTAAACTATTCTATTTGATGAGTTATTGAATGAAAACTTTTAAAATGATGCCTCTTAATTTTCAACTAACACAAATATTATAAAATGTTCTTTACCAAAAGCAGTATTAGGTTTTATTACATTCAAAAACATTATTCATTCAGCGTTAATATTCGGTATTTTCGGCAACATAAAAACGCAAATTCTATAGTTAGTAAATTCTGCATACGCAAGAAAACTATTCTGTTCCATACATGACAGAATACCAATTTCCTTATAGAAGGTATTTAATTCCTATAAGGAAAAACCAAGTTACCGCAGAGGTAATAGTTGGTCTGTAGGATCAGTTTTGTTTGTTAGAATTTATATAATTTTTTAGGATAGGAATCACACTACCCCACTGTTGAAGCAAAAAGGCAGGTAGCGCCGACCTTCTTCGTCTTTCGAGTTTTTTTCACCTAGTAAAAAAAAAAACTAATTAAATTGAGAGCCTGATCGTCTAACTCGCTACTTTATTTGGGAAGTGAAAAGAAAGTGAATGACAATCACATAATTGTATAATGTAATTTTCGAGTGAGAAAAATTATTCGGTATCTTGTTTTTTTCTAAATTTTATACAAAATTTATTCACTTTGTTTTAGAAAGTTAGACATTCATTCTTTGAATTGATTATCAAAAAATTGATAATCTTTTTGAAAATGTGAAATATTCATTGAATAAAAAGTGAGAAAAGAATCGAAAACACGATCAGGCTGTAAGTAAACGTTTGATCGACATTAAGGTAATAGACACCCCTTGTTCTATTGTACTATATGAACTGTAATTTATTTTTACGAAATAAAAATATAAAAAACTAAAATATAATTTTCGGTTACTTTGACATTTTTAACATGGAACGCTTTATTAAATTTATAAATATTATACGATTAACTAAATAACATAAATTTTAAATTATGGTCTTCATTCTAAACCTAATTCCAAATTATTACATATACCATAATTACATTTAAATTCGATAGCACTCAAAATGTTAAAATAATTAAAACAGATGAAGAATTTCAAAATTTATTAAATTGTTTTAAAAGTTATAATTTTCAATTTATGAGTTTAAATTTAATTTATTAAGTTCATATTTTTTTTAATTAAAATACAAAAAATTTCTATTGTAAATTTTAAAAAAATTCATCAAAAAAACTTTAATAGCATAATATTCATGTAAAATTAAATATGTAATGTTTTTATACATACATAAAAACTTGAATTTTTCTGTATTTTTTAATTGTAAAAAACAATTTCAATAATGAAATTTTTTTATTTTTAAATACAAAACAATGCAGACAAACTTAATATTAAATTTTCCGAGAATATAAATAAATTTATATTTACAGCTATTTTACACAAATTTACAAATTCATATTTAAAAAATAAAATTCAAAACAGAATGCCAGCTGATGTTATTTTTCCTATATCCTTACAGTGAATTTTCATTGAATTTTCTATGTATATAAAAATTTATAACTAAAATTATCTGAACTTATGTACATGCATATATATTTGCATATTTAAAATTATCGAAATTTATAGGTTATTTACTTAAAATTTCAAAAATATTAAATTATTCGTACTTTTTCATTAAATTTGCTTTATTCAAATGATTTATAAATAAAGACCTATATTGAAACAATTGAAGTCAAAAATTGAATTTTGCATGAATCCTTAAGTTTCAAAATGTTTAGTTTTCCGATATTGATGCACAATTCAGCAATTACACTTACAAGCTGAGTTGTGTATCATTCATAGTAGTTCATTGAATTCAGCTTATATTATATTAATACGCTGAACATCGCAACCCAATCGTATCATACTGAGTTTTTTATTTCACTATTTTACAATTGTGAACTATATAGGCTTAATAGTTTATAACAATTACAAACTTGTTTTATATTCTAAATTTCATATATTACAATTTATCAGCAATATACTCATAATATATTTTTATATTACAAAATTTCATTTATAACAAGTTTATTTTTAATAAAAATATATTTTATAAATTTTTATAATAATAATGTAAGATAAATACGATATTGAAATATTTCATATATAAAATCTAATTTCTTCTTTGCAGATTGCAGCTGATCACCATCATGCACATATTGCCGCTCATGGACCATGGGATGGTCGCAGTTTTCAACAAAATGAACCTGTACCTGTATATGAAGCCCAAAATTTAGCCTACAATGCATATGCTTAAAATTTAAGCGACATCTGCCATAAAAACGAACAAAAAAAACGAACTATCCTTTTATATTTTTTTAATTTAGAAGATTAAGAATAAAATAAAAATTATTAAATACTAAAATACACAAAAAAGAAACAAAATAAATAAGGAATTAATTTTTCATTTGAAAAACAAAAATGAAAAATAGGAAAAAAAACATAAAATCCTTAAAAGTTTATTGAAGCGCAATTGTATTGAAATTTGTACACAAAAATGTATTTTTTGTTTTTATTATTTACCTGTATATAATATCTAAAAGTATAAATGTATGTAGAAAAAATATTTATTTATTTATTTATTTTTGTTTATTTAAAAAAAAATGTTACGTAAATTATATAGAAATTTAGGATTTTTTTTTTGATGAAAGTGTTGTATAATGAAAATACTAAAATGAAAATCAAAAAATAAAGAGAATTGTAATTTAAATCAAAGGAAATTTTTCTGTACCTCACTTTTTTATTTACAGTAATTGAAAGTTGTCATGAGTTATAAAACACAAATCAAAGTACAAACATAAAACGAGAAAAAAATTAGTTTATTATATCAAATCTGTGATACGCATACGAACGTCGAATGAAATATGGTAATGGGACAGACTATGATTTTAATTGCACTGGTCGGAAGGGTTATAATACCCTTCGAACCAGAATAATTTATACAAAATTTTAGTACTATAATTTCAATAGTTTCTAAGATATTACTAAAAAACTATTGAAATATTACGGCAGCTAACATGACGAGTCAAGAAATTTTAACGATTTTTATCACAGCAAGAACTTTAAAAAATTCGAAGATATAACTAGACAACTTTTTAACTTGTAGAGCAAGACCACTTCCTCGGTCACATCTAATAAATTATACCTGTACGAACGCATAATCAAAGGGTGTACAAAATTTGCCTTACCGTTTGTAACGCTAAGAAATAATGGTCTGAGATATAGACTCAAATGTATGGTTTTGATCAATGTCGAATTCTGAGTCGATTTAGCTTTGTTTGTCCTTCCGTCCGCCCGTTCGTCCCAACGAAAACTCAAAAACTAATTGAGCTAAGTTCACCAAATTTTTACAAATATTATTTATTATAATAAATGCTAGAAGCCTATTTAAATTGCATATGATCAGGGTACTGGTTCAGGTAGCTGTCATACAATTTCATAAGCTATTTGGCTATATCTCAGAAACTATAAAAGTTGTGATATTGAAATTTCACACAAACGCCTATGTGTTTGATAAAATTCATTGAAAGTGCTTGGCTTTTTGTGTAAGCTGCCATACAATTTCAAGAGTAGTTTGTCTATATCTAAAAAATATTGAAAAAGCAGTACTGAAATTTTGCATAAATTAATATGGTAATATGGCAACTTAAAGTCATAGTCTGTTACATGGTCAGCTACGACATATTTATTCGCACATTGTATTTGTGCTAACAAAATTAATATAGAAGATTCTAAATAATATGAGGATCGATAATTAGCGGAATAAACAATGGCGGCCACTCATAAGATGCTGCAGGTTTCGGAAAGAGAAACTTTCCTATAGGAAATATTTCCTACATAAAAAATATTTCCTATACATAAAATTAATAATATATAATTGAGCTTAATTTAACTTTTCAGTCTTGTTCAAAGTAAAATTACATTTCTGACAAATTAGCAATTTTTTATACCACAGTTGTATATCACAATAATGAACTTAAGACTACACTTTTCCGCGTGCAGCTCAATTACAATATACAATTTCCATTGGAAAAATACCTCTCACAGCACTAATTCCTCCAAGACTAATAACATATAGACATATTGCTTGATTCTGTATTTTATGTACCTGCACAATATTAAGCATTCGAACTTTAGGGAAAATCAAGATTTCCATACTTGTTTTATTTTTTCAGTATTTTCTAACCAGATAATTTCGTAGGGTATTTTTTGAATCCTTGAAATTTTTTTTATAGAATTTTGCCCAGCTGCTTAAGCTTTAATTAAGTACCCAAACATTAAAAAATTCTTTATGGTACAGAAGATATAGCACGAAAACCAAAAATATTGTGAGTCACAAAATTAATTAAAATCAAAGCAGATGTTGCTAAAACTAAAATTAAATTCAATTTAATATCTATTTCTTTATCAAAAAATTTGGAAAAATACGAATTCCTTATCTAATAATTTTTCAAATTTCTCAAAACGGACAGCAAAATTTTTATTTAGCTAATTCGGCCAAGATTTATGCTTTTCTTCTATAAAATCCATTTCTATTTCACCTCTTTAATTGCATCAACCTACACCAACTTTAGTTTTTGTAGAAATATGTTTGAAATTTATTAATCCCATTAAATTATTTATTAGTTTGATAATTTTAATATCATATAATTTAAAAACTCCATTTTGTGTAAAAAAATTAAATTTTCCTATTAAAAAATTTTTTTTCTAATAAAATAAATGTCGAAATTTATATGGCATGTCTTTAAAAATTCACTCCAGCTGGATAATTTTTATAACTTCAGATGCCAAATAGTGCCGAGATTCCGAAAAATATTTTTTCAAATTTTTAAATTGCGTCTAATCTGAGAAAAATGCATTTAAAATTTTCAAACCATATAGGTACCATTTCTTATAAAAATTGGCAAAATAAAAAAACTATCAATTTTCTTTACCAAGAAAAGTTTCGAAAAATAATTTTTTGATAACTAGATTTTTTTTTGTTTTTCCAAAATGAAAATTCTGGTTTTTATTTTCAAAATTTCAAATTTTTTAAAATCAATTTTTGTTTTTCAAATTAAAAGTTTGTATAAAATTTCGTTTCAATTTTGTTATTATTTGTTAAATTTCAATAAAAAAATTAAATTTAAGATTTTTTATCGAAAATAACTGCTCTTAAAAATGTCAACTGTTTCGAGTGGCTCTCGTTATCCAAAATTAGTGATAGTTGATAATTATAGCGCTTAAAATCAGTAAAAATTAAAAATAGTGAAAAATAAGGCCTTTAAAATCTTGACATAGAAACGGTTTTTGTGTTAAATATTCTGTACCATAAAAACTTTTTCAACGTTTGAAGTCTTAAATTAAAGCTTATGCAGCTGCGCAAAATTATATAAAAAACTTCAAGGTTTCAAAAAATACCTTACAAAATTATCTGGTTAGAAAAAACTGAAAAAATAAAACATGTGAAAAATTTGATTTTTCCCCAAGTTCGAATGCTTGGTATTGCCCAGGTACATAAAATACAGAATCGAGCAGTATGTTTATTTTAAGCCCTTTACTAGGGATTTCAAAAACTGTTTGTTTGAAGCTCCTCTCTTGTTTATAATGGCAGTTACTCGTATAATCAAAAAAAGCTTGGACAAATAAAAATTTGATTAAAATTCGTTTAAATCTCTGCAACTCCGAACCCCTTGAGATTTCCCAACCAGCCCGGAGCAAAAGTTTTACCCATTTTCGATCCTCTAACCAATGATATATGTTGTTGTATACCTTCCTGAATTACCCTGTATATTTATGTATATATGTATATTATTGCTCAATGTCAAATTCTGCGTTGATTTAGCCATGTCCGTCCGTCCGTCCGATTACATATGATAACTCAAAAACGAATAAAGCAAATAAGACTACACTTTCACAAGTTTCATCTTTTGTGCCAAGAAACAACTCTATTGTTATTGGACCAATTCGGCCAACGTGTTCGAGTAGTTGCCATACAACTGAAAGAGTTTATTTTAAATATTTGAAAAACTAATAAAGATATTAGTATGAAATTCGTGTACGTGTGTCCAATTACAGTTTAAATTCGCTCCAAAAATTTCACTGAAATGGCTGCACTGGTTTGGATAGCTGCCATACAACTCAAAAACCTAATTTTTAATATTCGGAAAAATAATAAAGCTAAATTCATGAAACTTAGCAGTCACGTGCCCAATAGTAAGCTTGAAATGTCCTCGAAGTGTTATAAATTCATTCTGTACATTTTAATTATTGAGTACAAAAAAGAGAATTGCAATACTTTTTAAAAATGGTTTACAAAATTGAAAACATTGTGTAAAATCTATTTTGTCCTTTTATATATTAAAATTAAAATTAATATATTACTTTTAATATACATATACATATGTATTATAATATGTTCATTATATTTACATATTTTTATTTGATATTTGAAGCGGTTTGCGAATAATTTGAATTCAATAAGTTTTTACCTTTCAAGCACAGTTTGTGCCATCTATCTTCTAATCGAACTAAAGTTTTTCAAATAATATTGTATTAGATGAAACTTTGTTTAAGACGCAAACCTTTTCATTAATGGTGGAAATATTAGCTACTTTCTCAATTTAGAATTATTATTTAAAATATTTTGTAATATTTTTTCATCATATAGCTATATTTATTATATTCCCAATATTTTTTCGCTTTTAGTACTTTTCTAATAAAATCAGAAAAATTAAAGTGCTTAATAATTTCATTCTATCCGCCTTTTCATCCGTTAATTTTTCAAAAAATTATTTTCTTGCGAAAAACAATCCATTAATCATTTGTGAGCTATTTATTAAGGCTAAAACTGAAAAAAATAACTTTGCTCTAACTTTTTGAGCGACAAACATTTTACATGTATGGATGAGAAGCACCTTCACAAATAAATTTTTGTGCAATTTTGAAAAGCCTCCAATAATTTAAATAATTGTCGAGTTTTTGAATTATAACCCTCAACAGGAAGATTATCTCATGAATCTTTCATAAAGAAAAAATTAATATATACAAATTGTAAAGGAAAAAAACTGAAATAATTCACTTATTTGAACACAATGAAAGCTTTAACTAGTTTCGATGCTATAAGGGCATTAACATATAATTGAGTTTCGGAAGTAAGATCAATTTCATTAAAATTACCTTTAAAACTTATAAGAAAAATGCATAAATAAATTCAAACAAAAGTTTATTATAAATTTTATATTTAAAAAAATATCAAATGCAAAAATTAATAGCAAA